GCGGATTTTGAAATAAAGTCTCTTTGTTCACCCCACCATGAGGAGCAGTCTTTTTCCTTGTTATACAAGGACTAGCGCCCACAACAACACACCAGGTGCACAAAACAAAAGCTTTCAGGCTTTCTTTCCTGGGGAAAAGGGCAGTGGTTTGCTTTTTTCAGACCTGCCTCCCAGCTGCCAGCCTGACTCCAAAAATTGCATACAAACAAAGATTCCTCCCACACCAAAGGTGCCAGCAGAGAAAGCTCTTGCTGCCCATGGAGTGTCCATCCTGGCCCACCAACTGCACCACAAAGCCAAAGCTTCCAGGCTTTCTTTGGCGGGGATAAGGGCTGTTGTTTGCTTTTTTCAGCCTGGCGCTCAAACTGCCAGCCTGACTCCCAAAATTGTATTCAGAACAAGATTCCTCCCAGACCATAGGTGTCAGGACAGACAGCTCCTGCTGCACATGGAGTACCAAGTCTGGTCCACCAACTGCACCACAAAGCCAAAGCTTCCAGGCTTTCTTTGCTGGGGAGAAGGGCTGTTGTTTCCTTTTTTAAACCCTGTGCTTAAACTGCCAGCCCAATTGTAAAAAATTGAATACGGATGAAAATTCCTTCCAGAACAAAGGTGCCAGCAAAGAAAGCTCTTGCTGCCAATGGCGTATCCAGGCTGGCCCACCAACTGCACCACAAAGCCAACATTTCCAGGCTGTTGTTTGCTTTTTTCAGCCCTGCCCTTAAACTGTCAGACTGACTGCCAAAATTGCATATGCACGAAGATTCCACCCAGACCAAAGGTGCCAAATGAGACAGTTCTTGTTGCCCATGGAGTGCCCAGGCTGGCCCACTGTGAGAAATAGAAACACAGTCGGGTGATTTCCAATCAGAATTTATTATATGATAAAAACAAATTCAGCGCTGGCTGATCAGGGAGGGGGTTCAACAACTCCCAACGCCTGTCACACCCAAAGAAGACAGTTGTTCTACATTTATTTCCAGCTACTTCATGAATATTCATTATACATAAGCATAAACATCACACATTAAGTCAGACATTCAACAGATTTTTTTTTAACAAGAATGTTATCTATAAGCATCCATAATATATTGTTAAGTCAGGCATTCAACAGATATTTTCTTAACAAGAATGTTATCTATAAGCATCCATAATGTATTGTCAAATCAGACATTCAGCAGATGTTTGCTTGTTATCTATACAAAGTTTCCTTTTTTCAGCCCAGTGCTCAAACTGCCAGCCCGATTCCCAAAATTGCATTCAGAATAAGATTCCTCCCAGACCAAAGGTGCCAGGACAAACAGATCTTGTTGCACATTGTGTGCCCAGGCTGTCTCGGTGTCACATTGCATTTACAGTACTAAACCCTGGCAAAACCCCTGGATGCAGCTCTGGGACGCGCTTCTGTGGACAGAGCTCCCCGTGTCCATCCCTCAGGCCATGGGACATCTCAGATAGTGGCAGAGCAGGTGGCACCCAACAGGGCTGAGGCGCATCGTGCATCCAGGCTCCGGGCGTGGCAGCAGGAGCCCCAGGAGATACTGCCCCTGCTGCCATGAACTGTCTGCGTGTGTGTGCAAGGGAAGAACTCGTGTGTCTGAAAACCCTTGTGTGACCGAGCGGTGAGCCCCTGTCAGGGTACCACTGACTCTTGGCCAACTGGTCATCCACCAGGACCCCAGAGACCATTTTCCAGCACTGTTATGCAGCATGTCATTCCTTGTCTGTCCGTACATCCCGGGGTTGCCCCGGGACATCCCAGGGACAGAATCTGGCAGAAGCTTACTTCTTCCAAATGTATAAAAATCTGTTGTCTTTCTTTTCTCAGCGGAATGCATGGGCGGGAGAAACCCCCTGTATCCCCTGGCCATAATAAATGTGTGCTTAACATATTGTTTAAGGATTTCTTTGAATCAATCTCTGTGTTTAAATATACAAAGGGCCCTTCGGTCTTTTTTTTTTTCCTGAGATCCTTTACCCAAGACCTTTCTTTGAATTTCAGGGACAGTTCTTTGTGCAGGGATGGATAGGAAAAGACTCCTGGCGTGGTAGATCTCCCAGGAAGCGCCAGTACTTGGTCTTCCAGAGCTGCTCTCTTTAACTTCCACCCTCTGATCTGATCCACCCCTGATTGCTGGTGTAAAGCCTGAGTGCTCTGCCAGCTTGGTCACAGTTCTGCTGTGTGTCACTCCTGCAATGCAGGCAGGGACAGGCCATGGGCACTGCTGGGACAGAACTGAGCTCCAAAAGGAAAGGGGATCTCCTCAGGGCAGTGCCTGAAGGCTCAAGTGTTCTTTCAAAATTGCTGCCAAGAACAACCTCCAGGAAGTTTCCTGCTGCATAAAGCACCACTGAAGAGCTGAAGTTGGTGACTGTACAGGATGGGGGCACACAGCCCTGTCCCTTCCACAGCCAGACCTCCATGAATACTCTTGAAGGACCAACAGTGACCAAAATAGTCTGGTCTGTGACCCTATATTCTGGACCCCCTGCTCAAGGGGCCCCAGTGCACTCATCACAGACCACTCCCTTGCAATCACTGTTACCAGCACTGGTCTATCTCTCCACCTCATAAGGATTGTTTGTCCCCCATGGAGGAACATCAAATGAGCATATTTGCACTGTAAAGAAGAGAGTTAAGTATTCACACTGTGTGTGTGTGCGTGTGGAGAGAGGAATCTGAGTGAGCACAAACGCCATCAGCTACTTCTAGAGAGGCCAGGAAGAACAGTGTCTTGAGATCACTTCATTTTGAGAGTCACATTCCCTGGGAAACCACCTGAATGCAGCCCTGGGATGTGCTTCTGTGAACAGAGCTCCCTGTGTCTGTCCCTCAGGCCGTGGGGCATCTCAGAGAGGGGCAGAGCAGCGTCTCTGACAGCCCAGCACAAGGCTGTGACCAACAGGGACTGGGAGATCCCCTCTGCCTGAGGGCCTGGGCTCACTCCAGCAACGGGGCTTCTCTTTGGGCTGCCGCGTCCCTCGTGGTGAGCGCAGGATGGGACAGCAGCTGGCACAGTTGGGCCCTGTTTGTTGCCAGCAGCTGAAAGGAGCAGCCTGGGGACAGCACACAGAAGCTGCTGCTGTCAGGGCAGGGGAAAGGCCCCAGGAAGGCTGAGGGGTTGGCATGCTGCTGAAAAGGGTGTCCCACCTGCTGGAGCTTTCCTAGGAGGAAGGAAACTGCCCGAGACAGAGACACTGCCCCACACTGCAGTTTGAAAGGTGGAGAGAGGGGACGAGGAGAAAGAAATGTCCCTGCAAGGGCATTGCTGTGGGAGGAGAAGCATCCAGAAGGAGGATGAGATCACTCCATGTGTGTATTTGAAGAAACAGAGTGTGAGGGTGGACAGCGGTAAGGGGAGGGTTGCAAATTGCATGGGTGAGAGCCGGGGTGGAAGCCGGATGGGTGTCTGCAGCCTGCAGGGAAACAGAAGCAGCTGTGGGACAGCACAGGACAAGTTGTGCTGGAGATGGTCAAGGGCACTAGCAAGGCATGTTAATTATTGCTTTCAGGATCAGAACTTGTGCTTGCTTCATACATGTCAGAAGATTGCTTTAAAACATATTTTTGCAGCCAGACCTTTTCACCACCGATGACAAACCTT